TTGGACGTTCGTTTGGTGAACGGCTCCAAATTTTCTTTAACGGAGAGTCTCCAGACTGATCTGCGAGTGAAACCTTGAAAGCTCGCGAGATCAGGATGGTTTCACGAGGCTAGGAGAATGGCGCTAGGCTTACCGCACCGTGACGTCACTGCCGAAAGATGGCAGGAAGGAGGGGTTACTATATTTGTGCAAAATATAGTAGCACCGCTGGCCACTCCAAGACTCAGCGATTACAACAAAAAATATTGTTTTCAATTTTTTTTTTACTGATTAAGGCTAAACGTAAAACGTATTAGTTTTAGGTACAGATAATGATCCATTGGTTATTCCTTGCTGACCAGACTTTTACTTTAACAAATATTTCCGTGGAAACAAAACCGCTTTATCTCAATGACCAACGTTACTGAAGTGAGTCTTTCACAAAGCAGAAAGAAAGAATTTGAGCTAAAAGTGGCAGAAAAAAATCTGCTTTTAACTGATGATTTTGGACTTTTTAACAAAACACTCCTAAATACCAACAAAGCAATCAAAACAGCATAGAGAAAGGGGGGAAAAAAAGTAAACTACTGACAAGATAAAAGTATTGTGCCAAAAATAAACACACGGCGAGATTCTCGCAAAATAAATAAATAATGAAAAAAGTTAAAGAACGGCTCTAATTGAGGTTTGAGGCCTTCACAGTCAGTGACCGTATATTTCAGTGTTTGCTATCCTGCAGCAATCAACAGCATAGAGGGGAATCCGTTCACTCATCCATTACAGATTAGACAGCAATTACAGCTCCGTCTGTCCCAGACTTCCCACTCTTCTTCCTCAGTGAACCGCAGGTGAATTGGGTTCAGGCTGGCTCATGTTAATCAGTAACTCATTTATCTAAACTGAGTTAATGAGTGTCAGTCACAATGTGAATGGTTTGCTTCAGCATTAATAGACGTGACTTCCCACATTTATGCAGTTAATGATTGACTCAGTGACTGACAAACACACTCACACTAATTCACCCAAATGAAGCAGAAGCCATTAATGCAGAATTCACTGACAAGCTGTAGGTTTGTTATTGTGTGGCGTCCTTTCACAAATGTGGATAAAAAAACTGCATTATGTATGTTGGAGTTTAGCTAATTTGGAGTACTATATAACCAAAGTCTACTTTAGAGCCCAAGCAATGGAAAATCTCAACATAGTGCTGAATGGTGGAAATCTCCAACAAGTTCAGGAAACAAACAACTCATTTTATCAAAACCAAAACGGCAGCTGCTTTGAACAACCTTAATATTTTGACAACCTCTCACCCTCATCTAAAGCAGAACTTTGTTGGAGCTTTTGTCATTACCAAAACAAAACAAACCTGCAGCAGCATCAGCGGAGCTAAAGCTAACAGATGCCAGATGTTTCCACATAATCCTGAAAATGAACCCAAGCGGCTGCAGCCTGATGTGTTTGTGAAGAACACATGCAGAAGGAAGTTAAAAGTCCTGGCAGAAAAACATTGTTTACAATCTATCACAACAATTTCTATCACTCTGTG